ACAGTGAAGAAAGGGGCAAAAAACTGAAGGAAATTTGCCATTCTCAGTGGACAGGAAGGCATGATGCTTTCGAAATTTTAGTGGACCTTCTGCAAGCACTTGTTTTATGTTTAGATGGTATAAATAGTGACACAACTATTAGATGGAATAACTGTATAGCTGGCCGAGCATTTGTCCTCTGTAGTGCAGTAACAGATTTCGATTTCATTGTTACTATTGTTGTTCTTAAAAATGTCCTCTCTTTTACAAGGGCCTTTGGGAAAAATCTCCAGGGGCAAACTTCTGATGTCTTCTTTGCAGCCAGTAGCTTGACTGCAGTACTGCATTCACTAAATGAAGTGATGGAAAATATTGAAGTTTATCATGAATTTTGGTTTGAAGAAGCCACAAATTTGGCTGCCAAACTTGATATTCAGATGAAACTCCCTGGGAAATTCCACAGAGCTCAGCAAAGTAACTTGGAACCTCAGCTGACCTCCGAGAGTTACTATAAAGAAACCCTAAGTGTTCCAACAGTGGAGCACATTATTCAGGAACTTAAAGATATATTCTCAGAACAGCACCTCAAAGCTCTTAAATGTTTATCTCTGGTACCCTCAGTCATGGGTCAACTCAAATTCAATACGTCAGAGGAACACCATGCTGACATGTACAGAAGTGATTTACCCAATCCTGACACGCTCTCAGCTGAACTTCATTGTTGGAGAATTAAATGGAAACACAGAGGGAAAGATATTGAGCTTCCATCCACCATTTATGAAGCCCTCCACCTGCCTGACATCAAGTTTTTTCCTAATGTGTATGCATTGCTGAAAGTCCTGTGTATTCTTCCCGTGATGAAGGTTGAGATTGAGCGCTACAAAAATGCACGAAAGCATCTCAAAGCATACTTGAGGAACACTTTGACAGACCAAAGGTCAAGTAACTTGGCTTTGCTTAACATAAATTTTGATATAAAACATGATCTGGATTTAATGGTAGACACATATATCAAACTCTATACAACTAAGTCAGATAATTGAGAAAACATTAAAAATACCTAAGAGACTTTTAAAATAGGCTTTCTCTTGTATTCGATATTTGAAAGAAGAGCCGTAAGGTGTATGTTGGGCACTTAATCACTGATTATCTTTGCCTATAGGCCTCCATTGCATAGTTCAGCCATTGATAATATACCTGTTTGGCCCCTGTTTGAACTCTCATGCTTTGAAGACCTATCTGTTCTTCGAGAGGATAGCATTGAAAGTGCCCCGTTTTACTTCTCTGTGATCTCTGCCGGTGGCACTCTGGAATTGTTTTAGTTAAGTCATTTTAGACATAACATTTACTATCACGGTAGATCCACGTCAGGTATTGAGTTACCAGTTCTTTGAAGAAATAAATTTTGAGGAGGTGTGGGAGGAAGGAATACATTTTATAAAATGTTACAATGAAGCCCATGATTGACCTTTGACTAGTAGAAGTTTTAAATATATTGTTAAAAATCTGTAATGGAAAGTCAAAAGAAATTATCAGAGAGAGAAGCTTGTGAGCTCACCAAACAAGGATTTCATTGTAGATTTTGTCTTTATCAAATGAACTTAAAGGAACAAGTGACAAAGTTTGAATGGGAGAGCCTGCCATTGTTGTTCCACTTCTGGTTGTTGCTGTTTTTACAT